ATTGGGGCCATTTTTACCTACCTGTCATATGGGGCCATTTTTACCGGGGCCATTTTTTCCGGGGCCATTTTTTCCGGGGCCATTTTTTCTGGGGCCATTTTTTCCGGGGCCATTCTTACCTACATTCCAACATTATATGCCCACGCTTCCCAATGCGACCCTGTGGTCACATGCCCACCCCTCCCAAAGCGACCCCTGGTCACATGATTGACAGGGGGCTGTCAATCTTTGGACTAGGCCTAGACCCCTGCAGACAAAGCATACAGTCTTCTGAAAAGACATCAATATACCCTACCCTATTCAGACTACACTCTCTTGCGATCGGTTGCGATGTAATCGGTGGTAATCCAAAACTGATTACTCCCGATCGCTATCAACGAACGCATTCAGACCAACACAAACAAACTTTACATTCTATGGCCTAGGCCTCCGGTGTCTAGGCCTATGTTGCCTGACCTCAGCCGAACAGTCGACCTTGTGGAATTTGTTGTGTTCAGATTCCGTGGTAATCGGGAGTAATAAAGATTGTAGCACCCAATCGCAACGGGTAACAATTGCGATATCGATTACATATCGACTACTACTGGTGAGCTTTCACACACGATTTTACTTTGCGATTGGGTGTCGCAATTGCTACAACCGATCGCAATGTGATGCTAGTCAGTCTGAATGAGGTATTAGGCAAATAACACAACGGAAGAAAGTATGAGGCTTTTCTTCACAGGTAAGCTACACACTCACTGCGAAAAGAAATATGAGGCTGGTTGCGTAACATAAGCCTGGGTTAGACAATTCCATTATTTTTTACAGGCCTTTAAGAATCTGGCGTAAATCAGTTCATCCAGTAAGTACAGTATCTCGCTATCGGTCCAGCAACATCACTTCTGATTTGTGTGTTTTGGCATATTTGGTAAAGGTATGACTTGCAGAGTCATTGTGTTGAATTGCACACGCTCGCTACTACTACTGAACAGTAGCTGCCATAATGAGGGGCTTAGTAGCTTTATGTTCACGTCATTCCACAATGAAAGGGGCTGAAATGAACCACCCGCATCGGGTTGAGTTCCCTACTCTTTCCAAAAGATGTGCCTGGAGTTATTTGAAGTGCACGCTAGCCAGATGTGGACACTTCACAAGAGTGAACTGGTTAAGTCCTATAAAAAGACTTGGTTCAAACCTAACCCTGGACATGGAGCATCACTAACCAGCACCGATGTTAGGGCTCTCCATTATGTCATAAATATAAAATACCTCATTCAATTAACACCAATAAAATCTGCTCTGGAAATCTAACATATGGGAATTTTCTTATAAGATTTTAATAGCTAGCATTTAATTGCCTATGAACAAATTTATCAATTTGAAAACTAAATCATTTTAAAGACATTAGATTGACTTCAGTTATTTGAAACACATTTTATATATAAAATGCAATGATAATCTATTGATTATTTTTTTGATTTAGCTTGTGGTGGCAATAGATTTGGAATTACCTGTCAAATTAAATGTACAAGAAATACAGCTAATCCCCAATATGCATGTAAAGGCAATCAGTTTTATATAATAATAATAATAATAATAATAATAATAATTTATTGATTTATTTCTTGATTTACTGTAGCTTGTGGTGGTAATAGATTTGGAATTACCTGTCAAATTAGATGTACAAAAAACGAAGCTGATCCAAAAGACGCATGTAAAGTCCATCAATTTTGCTTACCTAATCCATATGGATGTAGCTGTATAACAGGTTATACTGGTCTTAAATGTCTAACAGGTAAATGTACATTTATGTATTCGTTAAACCATATATCATTTAGTTATAAGTCACAGCATGTGGTAAACCTGCAATATTGAGGTTGTGAGCAAGAGTATATGTGGTTAATTGCTTGTCTCCTCGTCACCCAGAAATATAAATAGATAAATAAAATTTAATAATTGGGAATTAATTGTCTTGATAAAGCATTTACATTGTGCTGATTATTTATGTAACCAGTATCCTGGGAAAACATAATTATATGTTTTGACCAAAAGAGAAAAGCACTTTACTTAATTATTGTTTATGTTAAAGAGATACTGTGTTAAAATATATTTATTTTTAAGAAATTGTCTTTGTTTGTTTTATGTAATAACATTGCAGTTTTTTGTATTGGTGCATACTGTATAAAATAAAGGTTATGCAGGTAATGTAAAATATACATGTGAAAATATAAATTTAATGTAAATGTATACAATCCTTTGTTATAAAGCAACAAGAAAATTCGGATTAGGTTCCTGGGGACATGTAGCAGGTGAAGTACAGCCACTACCATGGTGATCAACAGTACATTAATTTTATAGATTGTGTTTTCACAATTTCATGATTATTTATTGACTGTTTTTATTATAAATTATTTATAATATACAGTAGGGTGTTTTTAATATAAAAATGATAAGAATGTACAAGGTGTTTTCCATTAAGTTAATTCATTCAATTGCACCTTTAATATTTCCTTTGAACATCAGATTGTGGCTTTGGTAAGTTTGGTGCGGGTTGCAGTCAGGATTGTCATTGTACGTCAGGAGGCTGTAACCAGTATACTGGAGAGTGTTTGTCAGGTACTTGTGCACCTGGATGGTCTGGAAGCAACTGCCAAGGTAGTGCTTTAGAAATATATATTGTTTTTACTGGTATCTTCATAATTATTGTGATAACTGATAATTTTTATTGTTGTTGTTTTTTTTTTATTTTTAAATTAGTAAATGTTTTCAAAAGTCACTGATATATCTTGTTGAATAGAAACCTTAAATATTCTCCATTGTTTAATTTTAATCTGTAAATATTTATTCACATAATTTATAATTGTATTAGCATAATATACATAGTTGTTTTTTTACCTTGACTGTTTTTTTTCCTTCTTTTTTTGCAGTTCCAAGCAATTGTCCTGTTGGTTATTTTGGCTCATCTTGTACATTAATTTGTCATTGTCTTGATAATGTTGAATGTGATAAGAATACAGGTGTATGTAGTAATAATGCAGACTGTGCAAAAGGATATCATAAATACGACAGTCAATTTTTTTGTGAAGGTAAGTACAGTGTAAAGTGGAAGGATAAGGAAGTTTTTAAAACAACACTTTTTCTTCACAATTGAATTAAAAACAAATAATTAAATTATCAAATTTTGTTGATATTGTTAGGCCATACTAAATCATAGAAATAATAGGAAGTATTGTAATTTTAGAAGGTGGGACGTTGGGAGAAAACCTGAAGTGGGAACCAGTGCGTTAATCAGCAACTCTTAGGTAAACTTGCAGAGCCAAAAGTTGCTGCAGCTACAAGAAGTATTTAAAAGAAAATAACATTTTTTAATTCTTCCAAATGTCAATACCTTTACATTTCAAAGAAAATTGAGCATTCCTACTCTAATAAATACTATTTTGCTTTGTTTAATTTATAATATCATAGGTCCACCTGTTAGTGTGTACATTATTAGCCTTTATTTATATTAGATAATAATGATTTTTTTTTAGTGCCTATAACCAGGGGGTACAGGGTTAAAGTTTATTCCAATTTGTCATACAACCCTACTACTTTTCGTTTTCTAAATGTTCACAGGGTTGTCTGTTTTTTCGTTCTGGATTTAAAACTAATTGTTTTTATTTTTCCTATTAGAGCACTCACAAAGATATAAATCATCCATCTCCGCATCACTCACAACAGCTCACTACTGATTCAAGTAATCTCTGTGAATAGATTAAGTGAAAGACTTTGCCAGACACACGTTATTTCAGTTAATAGTCCTAGCTATTTCTTAATATGTACACAGTGTTTTACAATATTTTGGTGAATTTGTTATGTATAGCCTGCCAACCTAGGAGCTGTGGTTACTCTTGTGCCTTGACTTGCTATTGTGACTCTGCCTCTTGTCACCATGAAACTGGATGTGATGGCGGATGCCTTGATAATTGGTTAGGAAACACCTGCACTACAGGTACGGAAAATCTACTTCAATAATTTTTTTTAAAGCAACATACATTTTGTAGAGGCATGATGATATATAGTAAACAAAATAAATCTCTAATTTAACTATACCATAAGGATGGTCAGGTAAGGTAAATGTTTAGTTGCAGTCATGGACTGAACATTAAGTAGCATTTTCGTAAACCACAGGTAGGCAGAGTAGGCCCACAGGCCGCATGCACCCGACAGTGATTTATTTTTGCGGCCCGTGAAAATGAATTACAAACCCTATGTGTGCGTCCTGACAACCATCTTTGGCTGGAAAACACCTTGTTTTTTTTTTCATCCCGGCAAAAAGTAATAGTAAAAATTAGCATATCACGGCCATAAAACAGTGTATGACGGTTTTTAAAAGTGCACTGAAACATCAAAGTTTTGGGTGCAGCCCTCGGAGTTGAATCTAAAATTCACTTTGGCCCTCCGACCCATTTTAATGCAGTTTTAGACAGTATCACGTACAGTATGATAATTCAGCTATCAACTACATCCATCAGGGGCGGATCCAGAAATGTCCAAAAAGGGGGGGCCGAAGGGGGGCTGAAAGTTGGGCCGATTGAGACAACACTATCGTAGGGGGTCTGGGGGCATGCCCCCGCGAAATTTTTGTGTTCTAGACGCCCGAACATAACATTTGAGGCATTCTTAGCCATCATTTTTTTCCTTTTCTCTCTTTTTTCCGCTTTTTTTTTCTTTTTTTACCTCCCAAAAGGGGGGCCCCGGGCCGGGCCGGCCCCCCCCCCCTAAATCCGCCCCTGTCCATCTCATTTTATGTCTATCTTATACTTTTTTTATATTATTTTCATTATAATGTATGACTCATTCAGTTTTGTTTTATTCAATTGATTGGATCCATTTGTTTATAGTTCAACAATTACCAATAATAAAGTATTTATTTAAAGCAACATTCGGGAGCTTTAGATTGGTGGTTAAAATAAAAAGCTTTGCTAATTTGGCTGAACAGGTTGAAGCCACTGTGTGTACTTTGGTTCAATTTTATCCCCTACTCTCCTATTTGTTTCATTTCGAGGGTCAATAGTGCACAGTTTTTCACATTAAAGAACACAGTAAACTCTTTGTTAAAGAGAAGGGGACTGTCTCCTGGTGTTCTGTCCAATTCAACACCAGATGGACCCTACTGTAAGTCTTAGGTTGGTTATATCCTAAGTTTATTAAGGGAATCTAATCTAAGTTTGGCTTCTAATTTTTTGGTCCAGGAGGTGCAAATCTTCTCAACATTAAAACAGCTCCACTCCATAAGCTTCATAATACTGGGCCATGTGGGAAAACAATAGCTTAATACTGAACACCTATCCCAGTTTAAATAACAGTTACATGGTTTATTTAATTTTTAACATCCTGGGTACATCTTGTCAGAACAGCTCAATTCCCTTAAGCCTTACTGTAAAATTAGACTTTGTTTAGACCATTAAAACAAATTCTTGTGTTGGCCAACTTTTTGGGGAAATCCAAAAAAACAGGTAGGTCTGTAGGAAATTTTGTAAAAAAATGTTTTTTTTGTAAACCAGTAATGTGTTTATGCTAAAAGTAGACAATACACAAACATACAACAAAGACCATTTTTAAATCTATATTGAAGAGCAAAACGATTGCATAACACTGTCACATTGCCTACCGTTGCAAGATAAGCCTATTCCAGCCTTTTTAGCTCATTAAAAACAATTTTTTTTCGTTGTAGTAAAAAAAAAAAAAAACTCAAATTTTGGGTCGGTCGGGTGTGGCCAACACAATAATTTTTTTTAATTTGGCCGTACTGGACCCTATGGGAGAATAGTAGCTTGCTATTGAATATTCATCTCTGTTTAAGGTAAGAAAAAAATAAAAACATTTAAACAATAACAATTATCAAAAATAACTCTTACAAGAGGCAATATCTTTTCATCATAATTTATATATGTTTATATACCTTTTATTCCTGTTTTTGTTTCCTACTCTAGGAATAATTTCAATTTCTAACGCAAAAGTTAATCCACGTCAGATGTCCACATTTCAATGTGACATTCAAGGTGATGTAACTGACACTACCATTCAGTTCCTTATTGATAGTCAACCTGCTGCAGAAACTGGACGCACAAAATCAAATAGAGTTACAACAGTTTCATTTACCGGTGAAGCAAATCCTGATGCTGCATATGTTTGCCAACTTACTAAGGATTCTTATATGGCAAATGCAACTCATTCACTTACTACCTATGGTAAGTTTCAATATTGACTATTTTCATTACTGATGCCAGCACCTTGTGTATTCTCCTGATTGTGATAGGCGCTATATAAAATTGGATTTTTAAAAAAATGCTAAAGTTCAATGGTTTTTCGTGTTTGCATTTTTTCATTATATATAATGATTTATATATTTTGTGAGTGCTCAAATAGGAAAAATGAAAATACTTAGTTTATTCAGAATGAGAGAACAGACAACCTCTGCAGACAACCTCTGTGAACATTTAGAAAACAAAAAGTAGTAGGGTTATACAACAAATTGGAATAAACTTTAACCCAGGACCCTCTAGTACTGTTATAGGCACTACAGTGCAAAAAAAAATATATTGTGCACTTTCTTATGTATTTTTATGTACTTTTTATATTTCTCTTCCCCTTGAATGTATTGAAATTGAATTAATTGAATAATCTTGCAGTTCTTTTATATTATTTTTTCACTTTATTGCGATATTATTCCTAAATTCAACAAATTTGAATTAAACGGCAAGTAAAACTCATTCGCTTACTATCTATGGTAAGTTTCAGTCATTGACTATTTTCATTACTGATGCCAGCACCTTGTGTATTCTCCTGATTGTGATAGGTGCTATATAAAATTGGATTTTAAAAAAAATGCTAAAGTTCAATGGTTTTTTTCGTGTTTGCATTTTTTCATTATTATTACAGGAAAGTAAGTTTCAATGATTGTATATTTTTGACAAATAAAGAATTTTGTATTTAATGGTAATAATACTAATCATGGTATATTGGCACATGGCACTTTTTATGTATTTTTATGTAGTTTTTTATATTTCTCTTCCCCTTGGGTGTATTTTTTGAATATATTGAAATAGAATTAATTGAATAATATTGCAGTTCTTTGATATTTTTTTAAAATTTATTGTATCATTTTTCCTCAATTCACCAAATTTTAAATTAAACTATTTAATATGTACTCAACATATCACACAGTGTAGTGGAATTATAATTATATTATTATATTTTATAACTAGTATTACCAACATACAATGGAAGACCACTATTTAATTAAACTATTTAATATGTACTCAACATATCACCCAGTGTAGTGGAATTATAATTATATTATTATATTTTATAACTAGTATTACCAACATACAATGGAAGACCAGCCGCAGAGACGATTACTGGATCATCAGTGAAATTGATGTGGAGGGAATGGAGTACCAGCAGTGGAGATAGTGGTGATCCTCCCATTATTGGATATGTTGTATATTACAAACAAAGATCTCTATCATCTGAGCCCTTTAGGCGAGCATTCCAGGTTAGCGGTCTTACAGCCACAGTGACTGGTTTACACTGGGAAGAAGCATATAAATTTGCTATAGCAGCTGTCAGGGAAGGTGCTGGGGGTGAAGGTCCAATGGGAAGTGTTAGGCCAACTACACCAACAGTTTGTGGAGGTAAATACACTTGAATAATCTAATTGGACAAAATGCAAACCCATTCTTGTTAGAATTTTTTTTTTCGTCACCGCGAAGACATCGTGCACCGTGATAAAAATTGAATTGTAATTGAAAATTACTTTTCGTAAAACAAGGTTAATAAGAACCTGAAGAAAGTTACTTTAAATACAATATTAAGTATGAACAATTAAGCAATTCCTTGAATCAATGAATCCTAATAATCTAAAAAAACTGAACGTTTAATATTTTGAAGACTCAAGGAACGAAATTAGATGTAGAGCCGCCGAGGCCGCCTCCTACTACTTGCCTAGGCCATATAGCCTAGAATAGTTATGAAATCATCCCAAGATTTTGACCTGTCTGCACTGACCAAAAAGTTAGTGACAGTGACTGTATTCTCTCTCAAATCCTTTGAAAAATGTTTATTTCTTTGACGAATGTGAAAAATTACAAACAAGTTCTTCTAACACAATACAAATTACAAAAAAGCCTAGGCCTAGTTATTCATCGTATCAGTACAGTACTGCTGATCAATGATGGCGCCAGGACCTGCCCGACGGAGGGGCTAAAGGCCTGGGGGAGGGGGCTAGTGGAGCAAATTGAGTCTCACTTGGCTGGAGGCCACCAGAGGCCGCCTAGGGCCTCCGGTGGGGGTCCAGGGGGAGAATTGTTATTACTTATTAGATAGGCATCGAGTTACTATAATATGACTTCATGTAC